CAGAAACCCTTTTGCTTCTGCAAGAGTGCAGTTCTCCACCCTGGTTACATAGCTTCCACATTAGCATAATGCCCCTCCTTGATGGTATCAGCCAGCCCCTGGCACCCTATATAAGCTCTACCACTCCCACCCCTGGTGCTGGCCTCTACTTTGAGTGCAGCCCAGCAGATTCTTTTCCTTTAATAAAGCTTGATCAGTACCTGGCATCTCAGCTCACTTTCTTTCAGGTATTTTATTAAAATAAAAAAAGAAAAGAAAATACCTAGGAATCAATTCAACAAAAGACATACAAAACCTATACTCTGAAAATTATAACATGTTATTGAAAGAAATTAAAGAAAATGTAAGTAAATGTATATAGTCTGTAAGACCGGCCCAAAAGCACGAATCTTAACTTGATGGGAAGGCTCATCTCGCAAAGACCAGGAGGCACAGAGATCGATGCACAGGCAAGAGGTTTTATTTCCGGCATGCTGGAGGTCGCCCCGTTTTCAGGACAGGAGCGGCCCCGAATTCACAATGCAAGCAGCTTTTATACAGTTTTTTGAACGGATATTGTGATAGGATCAACTGTTGGTTATCTGTGGCGCTTTTAGATTTACAGGTGGGCTTCAGCTGGCGCCTTTTGGGTTTACAGGTGGGTTTTAGCAGGCTGGCACCCCTTTAGCGCATTTCTCAATTGTTTAACTTCCCCGGGGCCTTGCTTTGAACCAGCTATTTCCTGGAACCGGTGGGGGGGCTATTAATGTTTAGTGCACTTGGGCCTGGCCTTTGTCACGGCCCCTGATAAGCTGCATTGCTTATGCATTGTTTAGTGTGCTCGGGCCTGACCCTTGTTCTGGCCCCTAAAAAAACTGCTTTGCTTATTATGCATTGTTACAAGACTGTGTACATTAAGGTTATATTTTCCTACAATTCTACTACTTATATTCTATGTCCCCCCTACATTTTAATTTATTTCCAACAAGTCGTCCCTCGGCATCCATAGGAATTGGCTCCAGCACCTCATGCAGATTCCAAAATCTACAGATGCTTAAGTCTCCGATATAAAATGACATAGTTACCTGCATATAACCTATGCGCATCCTTCTGTATACTTTAAATCATCTCTAGATGACTTATAATACCTAATACCATGTAAATGCTACACAAATACTCGTTATACTGGATTGTTCAGGGAATAGTAACAAGAAAAAAAAGTCTGTACGTGTTCAGTACAGATGCAACTATTTTTCCCAAATATTTTTGATCTGCAGTGGGTTGAATCCACGGATGCGGAACCCATAGATACGGAGGGCTGACCACACCTAAGGGAAATTATAAAGTATTTAAAATACTTCTGCAAAACAGCCAAACCCAACTTCGCATGGGGCAAGGGAACAAGATTGGCATAACATAGAGAATTGCAGACGCTGACACATACATGAGTGCCCCATCCGCCCATTCAGCTTCCCAAGGAATGTTGTGCTGTGACTCAACGACAGCCGCGGTGCCTCACTGCTCGTCCCTTCCAGCTGCTCCTTTCTTTGAGCACGCACACAAGGCTCCCGGACCTCCTGCTTAAAACACCCTCTGCTCCTCACTTCTCCGTTCCCTTTACAACACCCACAGCAAGGGTTGGCTCCCCTCCCCTCCCTTCTCTCCAATGCCCACTCCAACAGGGCTCTGCCCCCAATCTCAGCACCGAAGCTTCCAGACGAGGTCACTGTCAGTCTCCATGTGGCCAGATCCAATGGCCACTTCCCTTCTCTTTATTAGGTCTCTCAACAGCATGCTCCTCTGCTGACCACAGCCTCCTGAAGACACACTTTCTTCTCTTGGTTTCAAACATACATCATCTCTCCATAAATGACCTCAGTCAGGGCCCCCTGGCTTTAATTATCATTTCTATTTTAAAGACTCCTAAATGTATTTTTTGGGGTCCTGACCTGAGTTCTAGATCCATATTCCATTAACAGCCTTTCAACGCTGTTAAAGCATCACAGCTATCTCAAAAAGGAAATGGCTAAGACAGAACTCCGGGTTTTTCCCCTGCCCAAACTTACACCTCCCCCTTCTCAATAAGTGGCACCGCTGTCCACCCAGCTGTCCCAGCCCAAACCCTAAAGTCAGTCTGGTGGAAAAATGAGATTCTGCATTGCATTTAGTTAATTTATTAGGGCCACTTATTCTTTCAAAATAGCATTTCTTTCCATGAGAAGAAATCCTTTTACTGTGTTTTTAATTTCCACAGCAAATTAAATTTGCACAGTGCTTGTCATGCCCTCTTCCTGATTGAACCTTGAAAATAAAACAGAGCTAGCTTCTTCCATTTTAAACACCACCTCCACAGACAGGAATTTCTTCAGTCAGCCTAACTCCCTGCCATGTTACCCTGTTCTGTTTTCTTTTGGGATTTTGCCTGGTCTAAGCTTCTTATCTTTTTTCCAGAGAGAAAGCTGCATGAGAGCAGGGCCTGTTTTGTTCACTGCTATATCCACAGCACCCAGCACAGTTCATGGGGGTGGTCAAATATGGTAAACAAGAGTCTTCAACAAGAACTTTTCTCTTCCTGGGCCTTAGTGTTCTTACTCCTAAAATGAAGCAACTTGCTGATCTCTGATCTTCCTGCTCTGAGCTTGTTCTCAGGCTCTGTCTCCACTGAGAGGTGTCTGTATAGTAATCGCTCTCACAGACCAAACTTATACTGCTCGGCACAGTGCAAGGTGACAGGGTAAAATGACAAGGGACACAAAGCGTCACACATGATGCCGATGTTCACCTTTCTAGTGCCAGAAAGCAGCCTGCTCAGAGACTATAAAATGGGAGTAGGAGTGTTTTTCTTCTACAGTTCTCGTATTAGATACCTAGAGCACTTCACTTACGTTATCCCATTGAAAGCTCAGAACAGCCCTCTAAATACCATCGCCTCTCATCTCTCGGTGATGAGGAAGCTGTGGGCTAAAGTCACCTGTGAGGGGAAGACCAGACTTCCACACAGAAGGGACTCCTTTCTCTGGAAGGGATCTGCTAATGACATCTGAGTCCTGCCTACCTGCTTAGCAGGTGCAGGGCACAGGGTGGGCTGTGCTGTGACTGAAGATCACGGAGGTGGGGAAGGGAGCCTGGCTGTGGCTGGAGTGGTCAGGGCAGTTTCAGGCAGAAGGGACTCCTGCTAGGATTGAAAGCAGTGGGGGAAGGAACCACCCACACTAGGGTGCTAGAGCCTGGACTCGAGCCTGGTGAGTGGAGTTGACTAGGGCGGAGGGCATGTCCAAATCAGGAGGGTCAGGAGGGCAGAACCAGACCAGGAAGGGGAGTCTTGAATATTAGGAGTTGCTGACACAGACTTGGAAGTCATTTATTCCAATGGTTCTCAAGTTATCACTCCAAGAACACAGGGGTTTTGAGAGTTGGAATATATATATATATAATCCCAGCCTTATCTTCAAAGTAAAAGAAATACATTAAAGTCATGAGTCTTCTTTCCTTTTCAAATGCTCTCAGTGACTGCCTGTTCTCACCTCTCTCCTCTAGAGTCTAGGTCAAGGATAGAAGCTGATTCAGCACAAAGTTAGATGAATTGTCTTGCATTTAATTAATCAACATTACAAAGTGTTCACAACACATACAACTTCATATACAACTTCATATACAATCTCATATACAACTTCATATACAACCTCATATACAACTTCATATACAACCTCATATACAACTTCATACACAACTCCACATACAACCTCACATACAACAACTTCATCTATAACTTCATATACAACAACTTCATAACACCCAGGTGTGTGGGCACCTGTAAAAGGGGGAAAACCCAACCTCTACCCCTTCTGCAGGTGGGCTCGCACACAGTGCTCACTTTCCTGGCCTCCTGCTCCACCATGGGCTATAGACCACTGACTAGCAAGCTTCTGAGTCCTGAGCACAGTCATGGACTCCTTTTAGGCCTTCCCTTGAACTGCACCTGAACCTGAATGGGTAAGTGGGGATTTCTGCAGGCACAGCACCATGTGACATAGCTGGCGCAGGGTCTTGGAGGCCTGGCCTGGGCTCAGGTGAATAGGCCCTGTTCCCAGAGGTGCGTGGAGCTAAGGGAACAAAGTGGGAACAGCCCCTGGGGGTGCAGCACGAGGCACTAACTGCTGTGAGGGACAGAAGGGAGGGAGAGGCAGAAACTCAGCCAGCTGAGAGGACCAGAGGCACAGGTATAGCTGGTCACCAGGAGTAAGTAATACGGACCCAGGTCCTCGCTGGTGCCATCTGCCAGGCATGAGTCAGCACGGAGGGTTGAGTGGAGCTGAGTGGGCAGGCCCAGCAGGCCTGGGCAGGGCTCATCCTCTGCCTGTCCATTCCCTCCTGGCCCCAGCACGGTGCAGGACAACACACAGGGCTGGGAGACAAAGGTGAACATGCAGACATCACCACCATAGGCCCGTGGGGCTCAGGCCCAGGGAGCGAAAGGGGACAGGAACTTCGAGACCTGAGAAAAGACAAGAGAAGACAGAGTCAAAGGCACAGGGAGGACTAGGTAGTGGTGAGGGCTAGGGTGGGGGAGCCTGGTGGTCAGTGCCAGCCCCCAGAGGCTGAGGCCCTGCATCTGAGCCAGGCAAATTAGGAACAGGGTAGGGGATGGGGTCAGATGACTTGGATGTGAAACTTGGCTCTGCGATCTGGACAAGTCACTGTACTTCCTCAAAACTCATCTTTGTAACTATGACATGTAATAAGGCCGAGCTCAATGGCTGCAATGATCAAACACCGGCACTTATGTAATAAGGTGACTGGAAGTGACGGTGCCAGTGTAACCTGGGGAGTGCTGTGCACATGCGTGAGTGTGGCTGGGATGCCAGGGGCTGCCCAAAAAGCTCTGGCTCTGCCCTTGAGGACCCCCAGAGGCAGCAGTGGGAGAGGGCTTAGCACAGCCTCCACGGAGAAGGGCTGTTCCTTCTCATCTGGCCACTCTGGACTAAAGGTGCCGGGCCCCAGTGGTGCTCACCGCGTCACCGCTACTCCATGTCTGGGAGCTTCTCAAGGAGCATGTCCTGGATGTCACCGAACTGAGAGAGGGAGGCAGAGAAGGGAGTGATTAGAGCCTAGAGCCTGGGGACTCTCCCTCCATTCCTCACTCCAGGGCCTGCCTCTAGCCTGGATTTCAGGGGCCCTTGGGAAACTGTCCCTCCTCCCACCAGCCTTCGGCCTGTGCCCCCCAGAGGGGTCTTCTGTTAGAGACCTCATTCAGTTCTCACTTCTCTCTAATCCAGTCCTTTAAAAATCTGCAGCTGTAAATTCTCTCCATGTTTTTAGCTTTTGGTGCTGGGATGGAGAGAACAGACATGGGGGAGGGGATGCAGGGCCACTCAAGATCAGCCGGTGGGTCCCTGGGAGAAACACACGCTTGCCTCGACGTGGTACACTATGCGCCAGTAACTGGAGTCTGAGCCTCGGTACTGACTGCCAGGGTAGAGCTGCCACATCAGAGGCAGCACGTAGGAGCGTAGCTGGCTGGGGGTCTTTGGCTCCCCCAGGGAGACGTCCTTCTGCTGCAGGAGCACTTGGAAGCAACCTTCTATCTGCAGAGAAGAAGGGACCGGGGTGTACCTTCAGATTTGGGCTCACCAGGGCTCCTCCAGACACAAAGAACCAGAGTCCTTCCTGAGTGTAAGCTGCTGGTCACTATGTCCTGTGGCTATGCACACTCTACCTTCAGATTTGGGCTCACCAGGGCTCCTCCAGACACAAAGAACCAGAGTCCTTCCTGAGTATAAGCTGCTGGTCACTATGTCCTGTGGCTATGCACACTCTTCACAAGGAGTCTGGCTGGGCCAGGGTGACCAGAACTCACACGCATCCAGCCACCTAGGCGGGGCCACAAAAGGCACTTTTTTCCCTGGCAAACTCCTAGCTGCTAGGGGATGTCATGGGGCCCGCGAGCTTCCTAACAATAGTTTGGTGCCTCTTTCAGCCATCACGGGATTTTGTTTGATTTTTTCATTTTGTCGTATTTCCTCTTTTAAACACGATATCCCTGGACCCCTGAATCTGGTGACAGACCACCTTTGGTCTTGTGCCCTGCAACCAGTTCTCTGAACAGCAGCCAGGGTGAGTGGCTAAAAATCATGGGCCTCTCCTACTCCACACCCTCGGACAGCTTCCAATCATGGGCAGAACAATTCAAAACGCTGCGGCCCACAAAAGTCTGCAGAGATTCACATGGCCAGGTCCCTGCCTCACGCATGTCCTTCTGTTCATCACCCTCACCCTGTTCCAGCCACACAGGCCTCCTCACTACTTCTGGGACCTGTCCTCACATCTACAGAGGGCTCGCACCCTTCTCTATCAGGTAGGTCTCTGCTGAAATGTATGTCTTTTAAAGACAAATATAATAGAATGGAGACCAAACATACCAGTTATATCAATACTGAAAATAGGTTTCATTCACCAATTCAAGGAAAAAAGATGTCAGCAAAATCCAACTCTACGATATGCACAAGAGGCATGCCCCAAACAAAGAGATTCAGGCAGACTAGAAATAAAATGATGGGCACACATATGACAGACAAATGCAAATTAAGACTCTCCAAGGGGGTCTTTAGGCAGGTAGTAGAGGTTTTATCACATTCGCTGCAAAACCCCCCAGCCTAGAACTAGAACTGTGCTCTGCATATAGACTAGGCAGTCAACGTTTGTTCAACAAGTATTTTTCCAAGGCTGAAAGAGCTTTTTAAAATTTTCTGTCCATGAAAAATTAGAACTCACTGTTAAAACAGAATTCAGATTGTACTGCAAGGTGTAAGTACGGAAATCACCACTCTTGCTGTGTTGGTAAATATCCTTCCATATCCTTTAACTATCTTTAGTTGGTACTATTCATCTTTCCCTTGTTGATTTAAGCAAACCTTTAGATATTAAAAATACTGGTCCTTTCAATTATGTGAGGCAAATCCTGCTTTACAGCGTGCTAGTGGGTTATTTTTTGGGTGGCATTTATTGTGATTATGTGAAAAACTGTCTGGTTTGTGGTTGTGGTGTCATGCTGAAGAAGATATTTCCCAGCCAGAGATTAAAAAGAGATACTTGGCATGATATTTGGGTACATTTATTTAGCATATCTATCACTTCCAGCATTTGTCACTTCTGTGATAACTCAATTAGCTACTCGAAGTTATACAGTTATTTGTCATTGACTGTAGTCTCGCTATATTGCTACAGAACACTAGATCTCATTCTTCATATCTCTGCAGTTTTGTATCGCACTGTGCTCCGTAAATACATATAGTTATCATGGGTCATTTAAGAAAAATAAATTAAAAAGAAAAAGAAAAGAAATGGAGGATAGAATAGTGGTTACCAGAGGCAGAGGAAAGGCAGCGCAGTTTTGTATCACACTGTGCTCCGTAAATACATATAGTTATCATGGGTCATTTAAGAAAAGTAAATTAAAAAGAAAAAGAAAAGAAATGGAGGATAGAATAGTGGTTACCAGAGGCAGAGGAAAGGCAGGGGGGAGGAGGTATGGGGAGAGGTTGGTAAACGGGTACAAAATTACAAAGTTAAAATTAGATAGGAAAAATAAGTTCTGGTGTGCTAGGGTGACAATGGTTAATAATATTGTATTGCATATTTCAAGATAGCCAGAAAAGAGGATTTTTAATGTTATAACCACAGAGAAATGATAAATGATTAGGTGACAGATATGCTGACTATTCTGATTGGATCATCATACGATATATGCGTGTATTGAAATAAAGTGTACCCCATAAAAATGTACAATAAAAATATAAATGAGAGTCACCTAAATTTTCTTCAAGTATTTAAAAATCGTAAATATATAACTTGAGTTTTAATTTTATTTATTTATTTTTTTGGCACATGGTCGGTGTGGGTATCTGATGAATTTGATTTTTTTAAAGAATATATATATATATATACACACACACACACACACACACATATATATGTTAATTTAAATGCCAATAGGAATGCAAATTTAGGTGGTAGTTAAGAGCCTGAAATTCCATAACCTACTTGTCCTACCTTGGACAAGTTTATGTTTTTATACCTCAGTTTTCTCATCTGTAAAATGAAGACATAATTAACACTCAATAACCTTTTGCTGTTTGCTATTATATAAATATTCTAACATTATATATTTTAATTCACTTTTATACTTTCTTCAGTTTGTGTGCTAAGAGTTTCAACATTTTCCATCTCAGTTTCTTTGAGTAAAAGCAGGCTCTGATAGAAAGTACTTGTAAAAGAGTTATATTTCTTTTTTTAAAAAAAGTTAACATTAACTAAAGCTCCATCTTAAGTCATCACACAAAACAAAGGCAATGTTTGTTCGGTACCAGCTTTTATACTACTATAGTACTTGTCAAGTTTCCCAAAGCTTAGAGGAGGTATAAAATACCCCACACTCTAGGGCAGTGGATCCCACACCTGGTTGATCAAAATCTGTTAAGGGTTCTTTTTAAAATTACATATTTCTGGGGCCCACCTCAGGAGCTTCTGATGATGGGCCACATATATGAATCATTTACTTTAGAGATACTCCCGTGCTGTGGATTAATTCCCTGAAGCCCAGAAAAGTCCTGTTTTACGCAAGATCGTATTCACCCGTTCCAGGGACACTGGGTGACACTGGGTCCCATCCTTGGCCAATACTCTATGCCTATGTGGTTTCCCACCGTCCTTCCTGGCTTGGAAAACTCTTACTCATCCTTCAGAGCCCAGCTCCAAGTGGTTTCATCTGGGGCGTCCCTGGGCGGATGGGGCCGTCTGAGCCTCCCTGCCTCTGCCCTCACCCGGGGGGGGGGGGGGGGGGCTCCTCAAGGGCGCCCCCTGTCTGCGGCGTCTTATAGCTCCTAGGGTCGGGCCATGGAAGGCGATACTCCTGCTGCCCTGCCCGGTTCGGCCCCTGAGCGGGCTGTACCTCGAAGGTCATGGAAAGCCAGGGGTGCCGGTTCTCATCCAAATACACGTCCTCTTCCCAAATCCACAGGCGGTCCGGGTGCAAGTGCAAGGTCCTCTGCTCCGCGGGGAACTGGAGCTCGAACTCGCCCATGCTGCCTCGGGCTGTCTAAGAAGCAAGAGCTGAAGCCTCTCCAGGCCACTTGCTGATCCTTCGGATGCTGGACACGGAAGCTTTATAGCGGGACGGCGCACGGACGCCCCCAAGCGGTGGGGCGGGAGGAGGGC